AGATCTCTGCTCCAACCCAGAAGACTGGAGTTGATTGCGACAAAACGTGGTTCAAGGATATAACCAAATCACCTTGTCCAGAGACAGACTGGATTTTTCCCATGCCATGAGGTTTTATTGCAAGGCTTGAATATATTTGGGCAAATGGAACAGTTATAAGGTGGATGTCATCAAAAATAATACCTGCATGGAGAACCAATGATGTGACTGAAGTTGCAAAACCTGACTCTGTAGCTTTGTCAACTTCTCTCGAGGTAGGAAAACCTTGGCTTGAAGTGAATCCAGGAAGAGGTCCAAGGACCCCAAGCTTTGTGACAGCATCAGAAATTACTTCTCTATGTTCACAATCTATCCTAAGTTCTCCAAGGTTTGCAGAATGACGGACACATTGGAACTCAAAGCCAGGGAGGTCTGCTCCTGCAGCAATAGATCAGCATCCAATAACTGGAATCATTAAATCTGAGATGGGGAAATCCAAGATCTCGTGTGAGGATCTTTGTAAAAAACTCTTGGGTCTGAGACCAAAGCGAAAGTCAACAAACTGATAGCGATGGTTGTTCGCAGCAAGGTGAAGAAATCGCCAATGACCTTAACCACTAGCCTACAGGGCACTTATACCCCCTTCATGCCCAGGCCAATTTCCAATTTTTTAAAAAAATGTTTGTGACAGATAGAGCTTTATTTTGGTGGTATTTAGTCACCTTTGGGTTTTTTATTTTTTCTTAAACCAAAAACCGCTGAAAATTTTGAAAAAAAAAAACAAAAAAACTTTTTTTTCTTAGTATTTGTTATAAAATTTTGTAAATAAGTGATTTTTCTCCTTCACTGATGTGCACTAATGAGACTGCACTGATAGGCACTGATAGGCTGCACTGATGGACACTGATAGGTGGCACTGGTAGGTGGCACTGATGGGCATTGACAGGCATCACCAATGGGCACTGAAAGGCAGCACTGACTGGCACTGTTAGGCGGCACAGATAGACAGCACTGACAGGCACTGATGCACACTGATAGGCAGCACTGACTGGCATTGATAGGTGGCACTGAAAGGCAGCTCAGATGGGCACTGATATGTGGCATTGATGTGGCACTGGCAGGTGGCATGGATGAGCATTGATGGACACTGACAGGTGGCGCTGCTGGGGCTACACAGATCATCAGGGCACAGTGATCATCAGTGCTCTGATCTGTGTACATGTCCCTTCCGAGGAATGCCGATAACCAGCATGACAGCTTGTGGGGAGAGATAACCGGCATTTCCCTGTTTAAATGTGATCAGCTGTGACTGGACACAGCTGATCACATGACCGAGCTGACATCTTCGGATCTTTCAGTGGATCGGTGATCCGCTGTGTCCAAGGGACACAGCACATGGCCGATCGCCGCGCGCTCCCGAAGCTGCGCATGTGTGGTTAGAACAAGAGAACCGCCTTGCATCCATCATTTTACTATATGGCGGGCGGGAGGCGGTTAAAGATAGGATTGTGTAAACACACTTCCCTTAAGTCAATTGAAACCAAGAGCTCTCGAGATGAAGGAAGGCAACACCTGACCAAATAATTCCATCCCAAACTCAATACCCAATAAAAAGGAGTTGTGGATCTTTATATCCAAGATGGGACTAAAGCATACTGCGGGTTTCGGAACTGTAAACAGATCTGAATACAAACCTTGAAACAACAGTTCAGTTAAGAAAATGGGAAAGGTGACCCACTAACTCAACATTCCTGATCGGCTGAAAGGAATTTTTGTTAGAAATTGCTGGGACACAGGAAGAGTCAAGGTGTTGTGCTAAGTCGCTCTGCGTCTCTATGGAGTGTGGCTCCATAAACACAGTTCGGAGCGAGCACACACTGCGTGCCTCCATAGCAAGTGACTTGCTGAGGGAGCACATGAAGAAAGAGGAGGAGCCAAGATTGCCAACAGGGGACCCCAGAAGAGGAAGTTCAGGGTCACCCATTGGACAGAGAAGGTGAGTATACCATGTTTAATATAAAAACTTAAACCAACTACAAAAAATTTAAATGTATGGGCAGATGGAACTGTAACCCCTTCACGCCTAATGGGAAATAAATATTAAAGCCTAAGTAAAATTTTACAACTTTGACATGTGTTAACAAAACCGTACATATCATCACAACTACTTTGTACATCTAGGTGAATTATATCTTGTTTTTTTTCAGGACAAATTGGGCTTTCATTTGGTGGTAAATGGTAATGGATATCCCCTGATTTTTTATATTATCAAAGAAAAACTGGCCCAAAATAGTACAAAAAAAATATATTTTTTTTGTAATTTAGCTGTATATTTCTTGTTACTACCATAACCTACTACCAAAGAACAACCCAAAAGAAATTCTCCAGCTCTTGACGATGCCAGCGATACCATATATGTGTATGTTATTTGTTGTTTGTACCTGTAGTGCAGCCCAGAAACAATGATGCGCATTTTGGTTCTTTTGTTTTACCTAAAACAAACTGACACTAATACCAATTAAAATAAAAAAAAAAATCCTGACCTTTGACCCTGACCTTGACTCAAACACTAACCCTGGCACTGAACTAGATCAAACCTTGTTCTAGGTATTTTTTCTTTTATTTTTTAATATTTATGTTTTTGTTTTTATTTTTCAACAGTTGAGATTTGTTTTCTCTCTGCAAGGAGAGAGATACAATTGTCTTTTAATAAATACTACTGCACTTAGTCTGAAGCTCTCTGCTGTTCTTTTTTATTTTTTTCAGAGGTACTTCACTCTTCTAAGGAGCAGCCACTGGTGTTGCATGGAGAAGGATATAGGCTTTTTGGACTCATTTGCATGGACTTTTTGGGGGTTAACAAGGAATCTCTAACTACAGCTTGTTCAAGGTTTCTGCTTTTCCCTTGTTCACTAGTTTATGAGTGGGGAGATTCTGTTCTGCACCATTTGCTTATCTTTACAGATGGAACTTTTGCTGCCTGCTGCATGATTACTTTGAATGCACAGACTGGCAAAAGTTTAGGGAGGCTGCTACTTTGGATGAGAGCATTACTTTGACCTGCTTTGTTTGAGGTCATCACACCTACCGATTGGTGATTGTGAAAATATGTAACTGAGGGACCATATTGCAAGATCTTAATTATGCAAAAGTCGTCTAATTTTTAGTGCTACATCTTTGTTTAAACATGATCTAAATAAATACATGTCTTATGTCCCTGCATATATCAGTAAGAGTGCTGAAGATGTGGATTTTATTAAACTAGTAATATTGTTCAGAATCATAAAGCACAAATAAATGATGAGATGAGGACTGGTTAGAGCCAAAAATACAGTCAGGTGACAAGCAGCCTACAGCACTGTTATAAATGAGTCTGAGAACAGGCATTTGGGAGGCAAAGCCAATATGCCAGATGAGACTGGGGAAGGGACCGAAATACAAACACTAAAAGGATATGTAGCAGGCCATCACAGGCTACAAGCGTAAACAAGTCTCCTTAAGTAAATGTGAGGCCTCAGTCCCAGATGAACTTTAACTTCTATACTCACTTTGATCATCCTAATAAAGATTTAGCCACAAAGTCCACACCCCATATGGGAGAAATGTATATTAAAGTCTCCACAGTGGATGTGAGAAAGAGCCTGCTGGGACTAAAGTCTAGTAAAGCTGCGGGGCCTGATAGTATCTCTGGAAGTGTTCTAAAGAACTGTACCCACTGTATACAGTAGCTGAAAACATTAAATATGTTCAGCAGGAGAGTGTTTTAAGATGCCGGCTATTGTTCCTATATCAAAGAAATCTCTGGTTTCCTGTTTAAATGACTACCATCTGGTGGCTTTCACCCAAATTATATGAATTGCATTGAGAAGTTGATGCTTAGTCATGTAAACAAGCACATTTCAGTTAGTCTGCATTTCCATCAGTTTTCTTTTTGTGCAAATCGATTTACTGCAAATGCTATGGACACTACTCTGCAAGTAGTTCTTACACATCTTGAGAGAAATACCAGTAATATTTTGAATGCCATTTTGTGGAATTTAGTTAAACTCTTAATGCAACTGCATCTTGCCGTAAGTTTAGTACCTTGGGTCTGAGTGTTTCGCTCTAAAACCAGATATTTGACTTTCTTACCATTAGGCTACAAATAATTATAAATTTGAATGTGTCCCCCTCTGCTCTGTTTATAAATATGGGTGCCCTTCAGGAACGTGAGCTTAGTCCTTTATTGTTTACCTTGTATACCTATGACAGTGTTATGAAAGAAAACAGAATTGTTATGTTTGCGATGATACCAACATTATTTGTTAGATTGTGAATAGTGGGCTCAATTCCAGTGGATCGATTTGGATACAATCATCTTTCCCATACATGGATGGAAATTCGGCTAGGCCCTGCTGAACTGGCTGAATTTCAATCCATTTGTGGCCCACTAAAGTTACATTGAGGTTAGTTATAGATTGAGGTGGTTGCCATTTGCTTGTACAGTTGGTTGAATCTAATGTGGGGATGCACTGGATACCTTCAGCTGCCACTTGCTAAGCTTCCTGCGTGTACCTGTGCTTTTAAGGAGGGGTGGGCTCCCTCTAGGCAAACCTTCCCTTCATATATCTACTGTTATATGTACTCCAACTTGGAGACTCTCGAAACTATAGTCAGGATCACAGTATTCAGGGGAGTCTTGACGTAGGCACTGGGGCTTACACATACATTTGCAAATGTGACTTTCAGGATTTTCTATATCCGGCCAGTAGCTGCTGATAGTAGAAAAATCTTCCAATTATAACAAAAAAATATAGCATAAAGGAAAAAAAACAACAACCATTCTCCTAAGACTACAAAAAAAAAAGGAGCTGGATTGGTGTAGGAGTTATTATAGCCCTTAGGGCACTGGCCTTCAGCTTTCTATATGCCTAGTGTCCAGTTCTCCTGTAGGCAGCAGTAAAACCATAGGTCGGTTACTATCAACCTGTGTACCTCAATGGAAGATAGAGAAAAATTACCCTTCTTTTACATATACTTACAATCTGCAAAACGAGGAGAGAGATCAGCAGACCCTCCAGAAGCCAGAGAAGGAGACATCTGTTCAGTTTCAGCTGATGCTTGCTCCTGTGCAAGGAGAACATGAGACATCTGTACTCTACATCTAATTGAAAGCAGTGCATTTTAAGAGTACATAGGGATTTCTTACCTGGAATAAAGGCTGTGCACTGTCAGATCCACTACTCTCTACATCATTTTCTGGTAAAGGGTCTGATGCTTCATAGCCATAAAATGCTAATAAATCTTGGACTGCCAGCTCCTCTTCCTATTCAAACAAGGAAAAAAAAAAAAAAAAACATCAGACACTTGTCAAATCACACCATCAACCCAGAACAGAGCCGACAGCTCAAAGCTAAACTCCCGATTTGTTGTTCTGTCCATCCCGTTTTGAGATTTAGACAGCTCTGCCTCACCACACAGCCTTTTTTTTTTGCAAGGGTAGGAGACCTGCAGTTAGGTAACACTTAAGTCTTCCTCCACACCCTCTGAGAATACAGTGAACAGAGAAGCAGCAGAATATGGAGATTAGTTCCTTGTCACTCTGCTTTTGCGGTCTATCATCATGCATCTTATATTGCAGCGCAATGGATTAGCTCAGTGTGTTGCTTCTTCCTTACCTATTCTAAGCCCTATTGTACAGTAACTGCAAGAGGCAAATACAAAGTCAAATGTGGGGTTCTTACACTACTTGCAATGTATTACAGTGGATATAAAAAGTCTACACACCCCAGGTTTCTGTGATGTAAAAAAATGAGGCAAAGATAAATCATTTCAGAACTTTTTACATCTTTCATGTAACCTATAAACTGTACAACTCAGTTAAACAACAAACAAACAAACTAAAATTCTTTTAGGTGGAGGGAAGTAAAACTAAAATAATATGGTTGCATAAGTGTGCACATCCTTAAACTAATACTTTGTTGAAACACTTTGATTTTATTACAGCACTGTCTTTTTGGGTATGAGTCTATCAGCATTGAATATCTTGACTTTGCCCACTCTTCCTTGCAAAAACACTCTAAATCTGTCAGATTGCGAAGGCATCCCCTGTGCACAGCCCTCTTCAGATCACCCCCACAGATTTTCGACTGGATTCAGGTCTGGGCTCTGGCTGGCCCATTCCCAAACTTTAATCTTCTTCTGTTGAAACCATTCCTTTATTGATTTGGATGTATGCTTTGGGTCGTTGTCATGCTGAAAGATGAAGTTCCTCTTCCTGTTCAGCTTTTTAGCAGAAGCCTGAAGGTTTTGTGCCAATATTGACTGGAATTCCCTCTACCTTGACTAAGGTCCCAGTTCCAGCTGAAGAACAGCCCCAAAGCATGAGGCTGCACCACCATGCTTCACTGCGGGTATAGTGTTCTGTTGGTGATGTGCAGTGTTGTTTTTGCACCAAACATATCTTTTGGAATTCTGGCCAAAAAGTTCAACCTTGGTTTCATCAGACCAGAACACATTTTCCCACATGCTTTTGGGAGACTTCAGATGGTTTTTTTTGCAAAATTTACCCAGGCTTGAATGTTTTTCTTCATAAGAAAAGGCTTTCGTATTGCCACTCTATCCCATAGCCCAGACATATGGAGAATACGGGAGATTGTTGTCACGTGTACCACACAGCCAGTACTTGCCAAATATTCCTGCAGCTCCTTTAAAGTTGCTGTAGGGCTCTTGGCAGCCTCCCAGACCAGTTTTCTTCTCGTCTTTTCATCAATTTTGGAGGGAAGTCCAGTTCTTGGTAATGTCACTATTGCGCCATATTTTCTCCACTTGATGATGACTCTTCACTGTGTTCCATGGTATATCTAATGACTTGGAAATTCATTTTTACCCTTCTCCTGGACTGATACCTTTTAACAATGAGATCTCTCTGATGCTTTGAAAGCGGTCTGCAGACCATGGCTTTTGCTGTAGGATGCAACTAAGAAACTGTCAGGAAAGACCTACTAGAACAACTGAACTTTATTTGGGGTTAGTCAGAGGCACTTTAACCACTTCCCGTCTGGCCATTGTATATAAACGGCCGGACGGTGGCAGTGCAGGGTCGGGTGGCCGTTTATAAACGGCCTCCCCGCACCCTGCTTGTGCGCGCTCCCTGGGAGCGCGCAGCACCGTGATCCGGTGCCCGCTGTGTCCTCCGGACACAGTGGAACACCGCTCGGACGGGACCTCTGTGCAAGGTCCCGATCATGTGATCACTGATTGGCCAATCAGTGATCACATGCAAAGTAGTAAGCAAGATGTCACTTGTGACATCATTGCTTACTACGTGTGAAATCTGTGAATGATCACAGAGGTCACAGGGTACAAGGCTATTCACAACAGCCTTGTACCATGTGACAAGCTGTGACCAATCACAGCTCACTCAGTAGTTCTCAATGGCTGCAAGAATGCAGCTAGAGAGAAGGAGAAATTATTGCTTTTACAGCCTTTATGGGTGTAAAAAGCAATCCATGTAAAAAAAAAAAAAAAAAAAAAAAAATCTTGATCACCCCCAAGTAGTACAGTGTCACCATGGTAACACTGTACTGCTAGGGTGACAGTATGCAAAATAAATATAAAAAAATTAAAAAAAAAAAAGGTAAAAAATAAAGGTTTAAAAATTATAAATTTTTTGGTTATAAACGAATTTGGGTTATTTTTTTTTTACTAAAAAGATAACGGAATAAATTTTGGCCAAGATTTATGATGAAATACTATTTGCAAAGTTTTATAAGAAACGCTTTTTTCCAAATTTTTGGACTTTTTCATTTACATAGCAAAAAAAAAAATAAAAATCCCAGTGGTGAATAAATACCACCAAAATAAAGCTTTATAGGTCTCAAAAAAATTCATATGGGTACAGTGTTGCATGACCGCACAATTGTCAAAGTGTGAGAGCACTGAAAGCTGAAAATTGGCCTGGACAGGAAGGGGGTAAATGATGGCGTGTACTGACTCCTAATGTAACATGATTTTGAATGTGATTGCTTAATTCTAAACACACTCCTAGTAATAAGAGGGTGGCACACTTATGCAATCACTTTTTTTATGTTCACTTCCCACCCTAAAAGATTTCAGATTGTTTTTCAATTGAGTTGTACAGTTTATTGGTCACATCAAAAAAGGTGGAAAAAGTTCTGAAACGATTTATCTTTGTCTAAATTGTTACATAACAGAAACCTTAATTTTAACAGGGGTGTGTAGACTTTTTATAACCACTGTAGAGTACCATGCAGGTGTGAAAAAATGTTTTTAATGAAAAATGCTTTCAGAAATAGAAGTTTTAATGGTTTATTTGTATCAATTAACCAAATGGAAAGTAAATGAATGGAAGAGCAATCCAAATCCAATCAATATTTGGTGTGACCACCTTTTGCCCAAAACAGAATCAATTCTTCTAGGTAAACTTGCACACAGTTTTGAAGGATCTCGGCAGTTAGGTTGTTCCAACTTGGAGAACCACAGATCTTCTGTGGATAAAGGCTGCCTCAAATCCTTCTGTCTCTTCATGCAATCCTAGACAGATTCAATGATGTGGAGATCAGGCCTCTGTGGGAGCCAAACCATTACTTCCAGGACTCCTTGCTCTTTACACTGAAGATAGTTCCCAATGACATTGGCTGCATGTTTGTGGTCGTCCTGCTGCAGAATACATTTGGTGTTAATCACATGCCTCCCTGATGGTATGGCATGATGGATAAGTATCGGCCTGTATTTCTCAGCATTGAGGACATCATTGATCTTGACCAAATCTCCAACTCCATTTGCAGAATTGCAGCCCCAAACTTGCAAGGAACCTCCACCATGTTTCACTGTTGCCTGCAGGCACTCATTCTGCACCACTCTCCAGCCCTTCAGAGAACAAACTGCCTTTTGCTACAACCAAATATTTCAAGTTTTGACTCATCAGTCCAAAGCACCTGCTACCATTTTCTGCACCCAAGTTCCTATGTTTTCATGCATAGAACGTGGAAACAAGGCTAAATGACTCAACAATGCACGAAAACATAGGAACTGGGGTGCAGAAAAATGGCAGCAGATGCTCTGGACTGATGAGTCAAAATTTAAAATATCTGGCTGTAGCAAAAGGCAGCTTGTTTGTGAACAGCTGGAGAATGGTACAATAATGAGTGTTTGCAGGCAACAGTAAAGCATGGTGGAGGTGCCTTGCAAGTTTGGGGCTGCAATTGTGCAAATGGAGCTGGAAATTAGGGCAGGATCAATGGTTTCCTCAATGCTGAGAAATACAGGCAGATACTTATCGCGCCATGTCATCAGAGAGGCATGTGATTGGCACCAAATTTATTCTGCCTAAGACTTTTGCACAGTACTGTATATTGAAATATATACAGTGCATCCATAAAGTATTCAGACCCTCACTTTTTTCAATTTTATGTTGCAGCCTGATACTATAGTTGTTTCAATTCATTTTTTCCTCAATCTACACTCCGTACCACACAAGTAAAAACATAATAGAAATGGGTTTGCAAATGTTCGTAAAAGGAAAAACTGAAATAACACATTGGCATAAGTATTTAGAGCCTTTGCAACAACACTTGAAATTTAGCTCAGGTACCTCCCATTTCTCTTAATTGTTGGAGAGGTTTCTACATCTTGGTTGGAGTCCACCTGTGGTAAACTAAATTGATTGGACAGGAGTTGGAAAGGCACACACCTCTCTTTAAAAGGCCTCACCACTGACAGCCAGGGTGGAAAAAAAAATTTGATGATTTAAGATAAAAACAAAAAAAAAAAAAACAAAACAAAACAATTTTTTAAAAATATTTAAAATCAGATTTTTTTTTATTTCTATCAAATTTAGATATTTATGCCAAAAACATTTTATTAAAATAAAGATAGTTTTCTATTTGGGATAAATAATTTAGTTTGTTAAACATGAAATGGAGCTTAGTTACGTAGCAGGCGGCTGTATATTCTGCAATATTTACATTTTGGTAAACGCATTCAATGAATCCAAGCTCTGCAAGCGAGAACATGCACTGCATTGATGCATTCACACAATTTCACAGCAACCATGAGAAAAAAACCTGGAAAAAAGA